AGACAAGACACGTGGAAAAGAACCATCACTGAGTGTAAAATAATACTTCATTGGTAGAATAGACTAATAAATCCAAATGTACCTGTTATATGAACTCTAGTGGTACAGTGGTTAAGTGCTCAGCTGCCAACTAAAAGTTTGGCAGTTTGAACCCACCAGTCACTAGATTGGAGAAAGGTGTGGCAGTCGCTTCTTCAAAGGTTTACAAGCTGGGAAACACAAGGGGGCAGTTCTACTCTGTCCTACAGGGTTCCTGAGTTGAAATCGACTCCTGGGCAACATGTTTGTTTATGGAAGCACTGAACTGCTAACCACAGATAGGCTGCTCAAACCCACCAGCTGTTCTGCAGGAGAAAGAAGAGATTTTTTTGCACTGGTAAAGATTTAAAGCCTCAGAAACCCTATACAGGGAGGGTCCCTATGTGTTGTAATAAACTCCATAGCAGGGGGTGGGTTATACATTGAATCATGTCTCCCAAAAATGTGTATGGAAGTCCTGGCCCCTCAATCAAAGAAACCAAACCTGTTGCTGTCAGTTCTACTCAGGTCAACTTCATGTGTTAGAGTAGAACTGCACCATAGTGTTTTCTTGAATGTAATCTTTATGGAAGTTCACTAAGCTAAGCTTTGGGCTGCTAACTGTAAGGTCGGTGGTTCAAATTCACCAGCCTTTCTGAGGGAAACAGATGAAACCGTCTGCTCTTGTGAAGATGTAATCTCCGAAACCCTCAGGAGCAATAGAACAGTTCTAACCTGTCCTATAGGGTCACTATGAGTTAGAACTGTCTTGATTGATGACGGTGTGTTTTGGTTGGACTAGAAGCTGAAACAGACAAGGAAATTCCTCTGGAGAGCTACTCTGAATTTCTAGCCACTTGGATGGTGAGAAAATAAATTTCTGTTCTTAAAATCACCCTATTGTGGTAGTTGTGTTTAGGCATCACTAAGTAACTAAGATAGGACCCTTCACTTAGTGTCAACTATTATGTAGTCAAAGGAGCTCTGGTAGCATAGTGGTTACGAATCGGGCTGCTATCCTCAAGGTCAGCAGTTCAAAACTACCAGCTGTTCTGCGGAAGAAAAGATGAGGCTTTCTGCTCCCATAAAGATTTATAGCCTCGGGAACCCTGTGCAGGGTCACTCTGAGTTGGAACCGACTCCACGGCACATAACAATAACAACAATTATGTAGTCATGGCCAAATTTGCCTCCACTTTTGTATTGTTTTGAAGCAAGTCCCAGATTCATATTATTTCATTTAAGAAATTTTCAGCATGTGTATTTTGAAAGACAAGGAAGGGTATTTTAAAGTAGATCCATTATTAAACTTCAACATTTATCAGTCTCTTTAATTTTCCTAAATAAATAGTGCTTGGATTTCCATAATTGTCATCAGTTTCTTTTAGTTTATTTGAAGAAAGATCTAAAAAAGGCCCTTACATTGTAACTGATTGATAGGTCTATGTTGTTAGTGACTGTCAAGTTGAGTTGGGCTGCTAACCTCAAGGTTCTTTTTCACGTGACTTGTCAGCAGTTCAAAACTACCAGCCATTCCAGGGGAGAAAGATGAGGCTTTCTGCTCCCGTAACAGTTTACAGCCTGGGAAACCTTTCGCAGGTTTGCTATGAGTAGAAACTGACTCCACAGCACACCACCATCACCACCACCACCACCAAATTGGACTTAGACTCATGGTGACACAGTGCCTGGTGGAACAAAATGTAGCCTGGTTCCTTGCCATCTCCCTGATCAGCTGGGGATCAGACCACTTTGATCACCCGGTTTTCACTGATTGATTTACAGAAATAAAATTCTCTGCCTTTCTTCCTAGTCCACTGCAGTTTGGAAGCTCTGCTGAAAGCTGGTGCTGAACATCACTACTGTTGTTCTTAAGTACCATCAAGTCAGGTTAGAATCATAGTGACCCTGCATAGGGTTTCTAAGGAGTCACTCTTGGGTTTGAACTGCCAGCCTTGTGGTTAGCAGCCCAGTGTGGATTCTACAGCACCACATCAGGACTCCTGGTAGCATAGTGGGTTATTAATTAGGTTGCTGACCTCAAGGTCAGCAGTTTGAATCTGCCAGCCACTCCTTGGGGGCAGAAAAATGAGGCTTTCTGCTTTTGTAAAGATTTACAGCGTTGGAAACCCTATACAGGGTTGCTATGAGTCAGAACCAACTCTGTGGCAAACACCACCACCACCACCAACCGATAATGGACAAATAACCTTCAGCATTACGGCCACATGCAAAGCACCATTGATAATGGGTGCTGGTTTTCAGCCAGGAACCGAATTGACTGCATGTTTAGTTTTATCTGTGTGAGCTCTCTCACAGAACGAAGGCATGGGTTGTTGGGTACTTCAGATGTGACTGTCACTACCACAGAACCACGAATGTGACCAGTGTTCTCTATCAATCACCTTAAACCCATTTCCATCGAGTTGACTCTGAGTTTGTCTGATGGTAATCCCATGTGTGTCCAAGTAGAAATGTATTCCAGAGGCTTTCCAGATGGTCTGACCTCTGAGGCATCTCTTGGTGAACTCCAACAGCCAATCTCTCTATTAGCAGTCAAGCTGCCAGTGTTTTAACCATTTACACTGCCGTGGAGAGCAAATTTCATGGATTCTCCCCACCTCTTGTCTGTAGTAAGGAGCTCTGGTAACCTAGTGTTAACCTCAGGGTCAGCAATTCAAAACTACCAGCTGTTTCGTGGGAGAAAGATGAGGCTTTCTGTTCCCGTAAAGATTTACAGCCTCAGAAACCCTGTACAGGGTCGCTATGAGTCGGAACCCACTCACAGGCACTTAACAACAACTTGTCTGTGTGAGATGGAATGAGCCAGAACACAAACACCCACGTGTAAGGTTTTATTGAGGGTCAGGAGGAAAGAGAGCAAGAGAAAGCGCATGTTGCTGGAGAGGGGTTTTTATACTGGTTAAAGAGGACAGGGTTGAGAGTAGTGGAGGTAGGCGATAGGTTGTCTAGGGATGCCGTGCAGGTAGAGAGAGGAAGTTCCAGTAGGTAGGAAGAGAGGGTCCGAGAAGGAGAGCTAAAGCGTGGCAAGCAGCCATTTTATTATGCACGTGGATGAGAGATTCTATCAGTCTGTAGTAGTGTCAACCTTAACCCAAGGCAAAGCATTTGCTCATTTAGTTAACAATACAGAGTTGTTGGGACCATAAGAAGGTGGAAGGTGAGAGGTGGTATGTACAAAGAGTTGGGAGTGTGTATAAATGGAAGTACTGTTGTTGTTGTTAAGTGCCATTGAGTTGGTTCTGACTCATAGTGAGCCTGTACAGGTTTCTGAGGAGCAGCTGGTGGGTTTGAACTGTAGACCTTGTGGTTTGCATTCCAGTGCTGATCCTACAAAGCTACACCAAGAGTGTTCTCTTAAGTAACATGCAGTGAAGCTGAACAGAAAGGTATTGTTTTGTGTAACTTTTCTGGTTGTTACCTAAATGTTAAATGAATTACAAAATTTCGTGGTATCATAATTTTTTATCGTATTTCCCAAATGCTATGGTTTTGTGTATACATTTATTAAGGCCCCAGACAAGCAGCAGTGCAGTCAGCTGTGAAGTAGTGGAGTGGGAAGAGTTGTGGACAATCCGATAGTGTTAGAAGAAATCTCAAGGTTTATACCTATTCACAAACTCATCTCCCATTTCTGAATTCCAATGGACTAGGCTTTCTCTAATCCATTCCTTCAAGTCCTGGAGGCTGCATGTTTTCCTACCTTGGATAAAATGCCTTTGATATTCATTTAAATATGACTATCACGCTAAAATTTTGGCAGTTTGTTTTTATTTGCCTTTTGATAAACTTCCTCATTCTCATTCTGACTCTCATAAAATTAGGTTCTGTGAGGTCTGTGTTCTAAAGAGAGCTCCATGTAAAATATTGATACAAAAGGAGAATTTGCTTGGGCAGAGGTACAAAAGCCAGATGAATTACACTCCAAGACATGGGCATTTTCTGCCGACTCTCTTAGATGCCACAGGAGTCAAGAGCATGTGATTTCAGATATGATTTGTTACTACACGTTGGCCATGTGGATTCAGTATTTTTTTAGGGGGGGATATATATATATTTGTTGTTGTTATTAAGTGCCATCGAGTCGGTTCCGACCCATAGCGACCCTGTAAGGGTTTCCGAGGGTGTAAATCTTTACGGGAGTAGAAAGCCTCATCTTTCTCCCGCGGAGTGGCTGGTAGTTTTGAACTGCTGACCTTAAGGTTCGCAGCCCAATTCGTAACCACTACGCTACCAGAGCTCCATATATATATATATCAGTAAAAGTTATCGTGCTTTCATAATCCAGTGGTGTTTCGTTTTATTTCTCAGCCTTTCCACGAACGTGAAAAGTCATTTAAATAAAGTGAGTGAATTAACCAGAGGTCAAAGGTTTGGGGAACTTCGTAAGCCGATTTATGCCTCAGCCAGTTTCTGGTTATCACAAACGGACAGAAAGTCCGCTCGAGAAGCTCTCAGTGCGTTCTCGGTTGCGGCTGGGAGATGACTCCGCACTTAAAAGTCAGAGCGCGCCAAGGCCGAGTTGTCCACGTGACCGCACTCCTCCGCGGCCATTCCTACCCAGGCGCCGCCAGTTCTTTTCCTATTCCGCAGCCCCTTCAGCGCCGGATGGCGCGGAAAAGTCTGGCAGGAGGCGGAACCACTCAGCTTTAGACACCATTATTACTAGAACTCGTGCCTTTTCCAGCATTGCTTTGCATGTTTCTCATCCCAAATGGTCTGCCGAGGACTTCCGTCTGAGTGTCAACCACGTGATCACGCGATACTTGAGGAAGTGGCGGTTCGACTTCACTACTCCAGTCCCCGAGCTCCACCGGCCCAGCACCCTTCACGGCCCGAGGCAGCCTCCGCCCTAGCTCGCCTGCGCATGCGGCTCTCGCGGTGTCTCGCGCTCAGCCCCGCCTTTTCCGCCCCTCCCTCCCCTCCGCCCTGTCTCTCGGCGGAGCGGCGGCGGTGGCTCGCGCAGCTCGTTGGCTTGCTATATAAAGGGGAGAAGCAGGCGGACCGGACGGCTGGAGCTGCAGCCGGTGGCGGCAGCGGCGGCGCGGGGAGCGGTGACCGGTGGTGGTTTCCCTCCTTCGCGCAGGGTGGGGAGAGGGCAACGCCCCCCGGACTCCTCTAGGGTCGTTGCTTTTTTTATTTTTATTTTTTGGAAAGGCGATTCTCGAGGTTTTTAGCTCCGGGAGGAGTGCCCCCTCCTGCTCCCCTCTTACTCCTTCAGGATCCGATTTTATATTTTTCTCCCCCAGTTGTGCGGTGGCTTGGGTCACCCTCCGGGTGTTTTGGTTTTGTTTCCTTTTTGGTTTTGTTTTTATCTTGTTTTCTCGGGGTCCCCCCCCCCCCCTTCTTGTTTGTGTTGTGTGTGGAAATGGCGAACTCGGCAAACACAAACACCGTGGTAAGGACGTGGTTCGGTGGCCGGCGGGGGCTTCGTGCAGGCGGCCGCAACGGCCGGGCGGGGGCGGGGACGGCGGCGACAGCCGGCCTCGACGCTCCTCTGCCGCCCGCGCCGTCGCCGCTTCCCGCCTCGGGC